ACTTCATTCAGTATGGCGTATTGTATGCGATTGGTGGCGAAACCTTCTATTTGACGCGTTAGAGTCACCGGTTTTTGGCCAATCTCAAGCATTAGGTCGCGCACGCGTGTCACTACCTGCGGTTTAGTCCAAGGCGCAGGCACAATTTCGACGAGCGGTATGTAATAGGGTGGATTGAGTGGATGGGCGACAACGACCTGAAATTAACAAAAAAAAAATTTGTGCTAAACTAGTACATAGCTCTAGAGTTCAAACTCACATTTTCACGATACTGCGGCATATGCTCACTAAAGAGTGACGGCATATAAGTACTTGTCGAGCTTGCCATAATCGTTTGCGGTTCTACAATGCCGGCCAGTTGCGCATATAGTGAGCGCTTCATTTCTATACGTTCCGGTATGCATTCCTGCAGATAGATGGCGTTGCTTACCAGTTCGCGTATGTCTGTGGTGGCGCTAATGCATTCGAGTTGCTCAGCTGGACTGAGTTTACCACGAAGTGCGGACTTCAAATGAAGTGCGTGTAGTTCCTTCTCTATTTCTTCTAAGGCGGTGCTGGTTTGCTCTGGTAAAATATCATACAGCATTACCTGATACCCGACGGAAGCGAAAAGCATAGACCAGGCACGTCCGATGAGGCCGCTGAAAAAAATGTTGTGTGATGTAATTTTTTTTATACAAATATTAGTTCTTTTCAAACATTTTACAGAACTAAATGTTATTTTTTCTTGGGCTTAATAGGAGGATTCGGGTCCTCTCTAGTCTAAAGTTGAAGACACGAACCTCAGTACTGGTTGTGGGAAACCCCCAAACCATCAAACTCTAGAAAGTTCCCATTGCTTAAAAGGTCATAAAAACACTAGGAAGTAAAACTGATTTCCCACAAATAATCCGCTTGTGTAAAGGGTTAAATTCCTTTTACTTTACGGACTGAAATTCTCCTCATTTCATAACAAAAGGTGCGCGCTTTGCGCATTATGGAAGTGAAACGTTCTTGGATTCACGACTTTGTATCGCCTTCGCCTCGTATTCTTCATTTTCGTACTTGTCTTGGATTATCTTCGGATTCGCCTTCGTAATTGTCTTCATCTCCGTCTTCGGAATCTTCTTCATATTCACTTTCTTATTCCTCTTCGTCTTTGTATTCGTCTTCTTCGTCGCCTTAGTCTTCATCTTAATATTCGTCTTCGTATTTGTCTTCTTATTCACCATAGCCTTCGTCTTGCTCGTCGTATACGTATTCACGTTCGTCTTTTGTTTCCGCCTTCGTCTTTAGTCCTAGCCCTAGTCTTAGCCTAAGCCTAAGGTGTGTACTGAATTTCTAATTTCAAAACTCTCCTCTGTATGCCTGGCTCTTCTTTATTTGTGTGTGGCCCTATTGCAAGAAATGGCCCAGGTCCGATTGGAGCAGTGGCTGCTGCTTCTTAGGCTAGTTTATCTGCTACCTGTGGTTCAGAATCCAAAGCAGTTGATTATAGTTGGCAGAAACAAATTTATTTAGTATCCTCTTAATAAAGTGGGAACTTAGCTCCAAACATCTCTATGTTCTTATATGACTTGACCTTTTCTTTGCCAAGCACTTCGCTCACACCGTTCATTCATTTCGACTTAAGCTCTATGGTTAGGTGAGGCTCGATAACTACCACCAACTCCATTTTCGTTGCGCATTGCTTCCGTAATACACACACATTCCAGACGTTGAGCCTTAGCAAGCGACTTCCAATCTGCAGCTGGGTTGGTCCTCATACGCGAAAGGGCTCTCATTGAATTAAAAGATAATATGCCAGTTTTGGAGGCCATAGACCTAACCCAACCCGTCTGAATAGAAGTCGATTACACCTTTGTCTGGAGACAAATTCACTTACTGCCCAGACTATAGGTCAAAATTGTCATAGTTATGGTCTTTTCGTTCCCCAAGAATGGAAATACTCCGTCAAAAAATATGTAATTCGTAGTGCGCAGATGTCAGGGCCCTTCCCGGTAGGTCCAAGAAACGTTTTAATTCGATGGGTCGCAGCAAAGAAAAGAGGTGTTAGTTGAGTGAGATTAAGGCTGCCTGTGACAAGATGGTTACCGTCTCCTCATGTACGACACATACGTTTGGTACGTCAGAGTCAAGTCTGGGTAAGTAGGACTTTAGTCTAACAATATCCTCGTCGCACGAAGTAGTAAAATTGTTGATAACCTCTTTGTGAATATCGTTGATTGCCTGCCTGTACATCGTAGGGCCCAGTATTTGTTGTACGTTGTTCTGCATTCCTCAATTCATAAGTAGAGATGCCTTCGGACGAGACTAGGATTTCGGCTTTTGAGAAATGCCTTGTCGCTTCATTTAGTTTATCGAATTTCTCACGGTTCATTCAAGACGTACCCAAACATCGACGCTTTTCCAAATGACAAAAAACTATTTGGCTGAGGAAGTATTTGTTATATCTATCTTGAAGAGGACGAGACAGTGGAATACTTTTTTGCTTATGTCTCCCTTTTCGAGGATTAAGTATTAAGATTTTGCCATGGACGTGTTGGCAGACTTTCACCTGGTTAAATCAAACGCGAAAATAATCAAAGTGTGGTCTGTCTTTTGTTATCCACGACAAAAATACCCTATGTTGTATTCTTTCTTTTAAGCTTAGTAGGTAGGAAAGCGCGGTTAAAAAAAAATACATTGTGATAACATTCAGTTACCACGTAGACCCACCGACTTTTTTTACGAAAAATGCTACTACTTCTACATGACCTCTTCCTCATGTGAGCACTTACCTGCCAATTATTCCAATTTTTTCGTTTTTCATTTTAACTGTTGAAAAAATTTTATATTTTAGCCAGTTCTTCAGTTTCAAATTAATACCACAAGTTTTTAGTATGCAGGCTTTTGTTTCCGCAAAGCTCATTCCACCATACCGTTCAATGCTGTACTAAAATTGGTGCCTCGAGCGTAGTTGTCGTAACATAATTATTTTTAATATTTTATTTACTTTTAGTACATACATATGTTTTATCTCATCATTTAAGGCGTTTCATTTGCAGTGATTTTATTAATATTACTTTCATTAATTTGATCCCTACATATGCATGTTTTAAACGCATGTTATACTGCGTTTACACTTATCAAATTTTCTCGACATTCGTTGACGTGAAATGTAAATAACATAAGGGAGCAAGCCATAACGAATTTACTGCAGGTTTCACCAGTAATTCGAGCGAAAAATAATTTTTCCCCTAATGTGAGTTTTCATAAAAAATGCAAATTAAAAAACAAATTTCACTTAAATTGCTTTCGTGAAATTGGATATTAGATACTCTTTAAAGAGCGATATTTAACTTTCTGTGGTAGATATTTTTAATTTAAATATTTTGTTGCATGTCACAATTTGCCATTTCATATACTTCGAACGATTTTAAGACCAAAAAAAGCTTGATTCATGTATTTCTAAGCATTCATATATTTATTGCCAATGCGCATGCTTAAAAACTCGTATATGGCTGAAAATAACCAAATGTAGTTTACTCCGAAAAATTCAAAACAGAATATTTATGATATTTTAAGTAAATTTATGGTTTGATTACGCTTTTGATGCTTGAAATTTTTCCAATTTTTAAAAATTCCGAAAATTCGGCAACATTTTTCAAAATCTTTAAAAAACAAATTTCGTCAAATTTTCAATTAGGTTGCTGAGTGCAAAATTGGAGAAGAAATAAATTTAGAATTTTTTCCACAGTAGCTACATACATATGCACATAGTTAGCTCTTTTCCATGTATTTTGTAAAAAATAGTTTCTGAAAGTTTTAACAAATTTGTAAATTGGGAACTTTGATACAGATGAAAAATAGCTAAATTCATTTACTCCGAAGAATTCGGAAACGAATTTCGAAAATCGGAAATAATTTTTAATCACTTCAAACTTTTTTCCTCTTAAAAATTCCTAATATTGGAATTTCAAAACATTCTCGGTTTTTTCTAGGAAATTGATAAAATCAAGCTTTCCCAGGATGACGATTTTCAGCGTTTTTTTTTTCATTTTGAAGTTGTTGGCCACAGAATAGCATTTAAAGAAATTAAAATTTATTTAAATGCAAATATTTTTACCATCAAAAAGTTTTCCTGGGAGCTTTCGTGTACGAGGTATCTGAATCTGTAATTAATTTTTACCAAAAAATGGCCCCGAAATTATTTTTTTCCGAATGATGATGTGAGGTGCAAAATGTGATGGGCCAATGTGAAAGTTCTACTGCACTGCCAGTTTGTAGTCGTATTCATTCACAGTTGAGTGATCATATCCTCATCGTTAATACTACGTGCAAACATAGCATTAAACTAAAGCATCGACTTTGGCACAGTTGTCGCTGCGGCAATTAATCTTTTAATAAAATATTTATACATATATTCGCCCTTTTTTCATTGAAAACCATTAATCGCTATGCGGTCCGCCAGTTCCTTACATTTTCTGCATTATCAATGTATAAGCTTACTTTTTCTTATGCCCACACTTTCGTTCTCGCTCTATCTCATTGGTCACTAATCGCTTGAACACTAATCGCTCAGTTGTACATAATGCATTCATAAATTATTTCTAACTTGACACGCGTGTATGTGTGTATGTGTATGTAGAAATCATATAATTGCTATTTAAGCTCGCTTTTAATCAGTTTTCTTCTAATTTTAATAACATTATAATTTATGGTTATTTGCGTTCATATGCATACACACATATTAGGGTGGCGCTTAAAATGTCACCAACATGAGACACCACCTAACAGATAAAGATATCCACGAAAATGTCAAATTAAAAACAAAATTGGGAGTCGCCTCCAGTGTTTAAAAAAAAATTAAATTTTTCTAAATCGCAAAAATTATACAAAAATTTGTCTTTGACTGGCTATAACTCAACATAAATTCATAAAAGTTGCAATAATACGTCAAAATTATCACATTTAATTTTTTTTCGTGCATATTTTTATATTTTAAGTACCTACAACAAAATAAAGCCTTGTACATAATTTAGATGTTGATATGTTAAGGACCACCCTAATATGTTAATGAATTTTTTTTCTGTTTACTGTATTTTTTTGCGCTCACAATTATTGCTTACCATGCGATACACTTTAATTGAATTCAATTCAATTATCGCCGCCTTTCGCATGCGTATCACGTTCACTCGCTTGTCTCATTTATTTCTTAAAGTTCGTTGAGGTCAATTTTGTTAATTGTTATGTACACAAATTATAAATGTCAAAAGAAATAATAAACAATGTGATTTGTTGATAATGGCCAGTTAAGTTTTAATTATAAAATTATTTGTTTTCGATGACTTTCAAATACGAACGTGAATGAATATTTACATACATACATAGCTATTAGAGGGCTGCATAAATTCATTCAAACTCCTAGCCAAAAACACTTAGAGTTTTAAATTTTGTAAGTTACGAATATACATTTTGCTTTAAATTTTTTACCTTCAAATGAAAGAATGTGAATGAGTGAATGAAAAACCATGAAATCATTAAAACTCATTTCGGTTATAGTTTTCTTTCTACAAACAAGTTTGTTCGTATTGTAATAGCCCAGTAGAACTTGGGAGCATCGTACGATTGCTCGGTGAGTACTCCCTTGGGAGTATACGAATACTCCCCATTGCTCCCTATGCTTCTGTGTATAAGCATGTAATTTTGTATACTCCCTTTAACATTGGATGTCCTAGGAGGGGGAGTAATCCCTTTTACCTCCTAAACGAGCAATCGGGGAGCACACACAGAATTATCATCCCACAAACCTCCTAATAGAGCAATACGGGAGTACTCCCATAGTTACTCCCAGAAACCTCCCAAAAAGACAACAAGGGAGTGAACATAGAAAACATCCCATATTCCTCCCGAACGAGCAATAAAGGAGCGCTCCCATTAGAGACATCCCGAAAACCTCCTGTAGGAGTAATAAGAGAGCAATGATAACGAATATTTTACATTAGCCAAATGGATTTTGCTATTTATTAAATTTTTTTATTTAACTTTTTAATCACATGCATTTGTGCAATATTACAAGATCTTAAAAATAAAGCATAAATGATACGTCTTACATAATTGCTTAATTTTAGAAATATATTGCAGAGAAATCATATGTAATTAAAACATAATAATAACAAAACGGTAAGATAAGATTTGAATTATATGCACCTATATGCACATATAAGTATGTACTCCTATATGATTTCCTGGGTGTCAAGGATGCTTGCCAGTTCAGGAATCCACCAAGCGGGGAAATTGTGAAGGTGACTTTGCTTATCTGACATCTTTGTCACCCATGCGATGTTTAAAGCCGGGGGTCACACTTAAATGCTGACACTAATTTGCGCAATCTGAAAAGTATTTAAGGGTGCATTTACAAGTAATACAATACATACTTAATATATTTAAACAAAAATTGAAGTGCATACCAACGGACTTTTATTAAAATCTGTGTGCTATCCAAATTAAATTATTGTGTGCTCCTTATGCTTCTATAAGAAATATTTTCTGTTGTTTTTTTTTGTATGATAAATTTTTTGGAAAACACAAATTTCTTTTGGGCGAGGTGCGTATTGCTCTTCTATCAATCAAAAAGAATACTCTTGGATTTATCGCTTAGGAGACATCACTTTTTGCTCCTAAGCGAGTAATAACGGAGTACAAAACCGACAAATCTCGCTTATTGCTCCCAAATCATGCCTCAGGGAGCATTCTTTAATTGCTCGCTTAGGAGATCTCTCATTAAGCTCCTAAGCGAGCAATACAGGAGTACAAAACCGAGAAATCTCGTTTACTGCTCCCAAATCATGCCTCAGGGAGCAATATTTCGTCGCTCGCTTAGGAGATCTCTTATTTGACTCCTAAACGAGTAATAAAGGAGTACAAAACCGACAAATCTCTCTTATTGCTCAGAAATCAGGTTAAGGGGAGTACTCTTTTATTCCTCACATAGGGAGATCTCCTTTCAAGTTCTAGTGGGAGGAGCGCAGCAATACGTTCATACATATGTATGTTTGTGAATATGTACATAAAAAAAATAGTTTTGGATATTCATACAAAAAATTGTCATTTATTTCAATTCAGTTTATTTTCACTTTGTTTAGCGAAAAACGTTCATTCGTTTTGTATATGAATAATTCATAAGCCGTTTTGAATGAATTCATGCAGCCCCCTAATAGCTATTATCTACTGATATGAAATTGTTTATTTTTGTATGTACATGGACGTGTATTGGTGCAGCTTCCTATGTGATGTTACATAACAAACATACAGTTAAACAAGCCTCAAATCAAATCAATGTTCATGCGAAATTATAAAGAAATTTAAAGGAAAAAGCAGCTACTTAGTTAGGCATTTAGTTAATAAATTTGGTATAACAGAATAGTGGACATTGTAACCTAGCAGATCTTGTATATGCCTATAATAACTCTCTTACTCTGGCAGGTCAAAATACTATCGCATTCTCTATTAAACGCTAACATTATCTTTGTGAAAAGTTCCTAATAATAAGTTTCCTTCAAGGATGAATTTAGGTGTATCCGTCTTCGTCTGGCCAACGCCATAAAATCGCCCAGTATGGGTTGCACCTCCTTCTCGTCTTCAAAGCTAAGACGGTATTCCTATTTGGCCTGTCTAAGGCCTCCGACCAAGAGCCCAGCGCTTATTATGTTCTGGGTGTAACTAAGCTCCACAAATGCAGGCGATAAGCATTTTAAAGCCAGTTTGTCGGCGATCTCGAGCTGGGCTCAGGAGTTTCAAAACACAACTTAATTACCTTAGAGGTGATAGAGCTATTGGAGAAGGCCCTATGGCCGCTTGGTTAAGATAACTACATACCCAACTTTTTAACTAAAACACGGTAGGTATTACAATAGAACGTTTAGTGGCAGGTCGTTAAAAACTCACACCTGTTTCGTCCTTCATC